CCCCAAAACCCCAAAACCCCATGCGATCGAATCTCAATTATTTATGGTTGATTATGAAATTAAGAATAAATGTAAGTTTGTTTTTGAGGAATTGATAAAGAAATTCCATTGTTTGAATTATTAATTTACTCATTTTTGAGTGGAATCATTCATAGAGTTATTTAAATCTTTCTCTGAAGGTTCTTTGAAACTGTTAACATTCCAGTTAGCATTGATACCCTAAGCTCTTTATTAAGCTTCATAATATCTTGGATCCTACTGCATATGAGCTTACCCACCAGGACTGATGTTAAAGTTTTATCTCAAATTCATTCCAAAAGCATTTCCGAATACAGTTTGCTGATTAAATTATGGCTGCTAAGGATAGTGATAACCATAACCAGCAGAAGATGGCTGCTGCTGGAAATATGAATTGTTGTAATAATTCTGATTTATGACTGAGGCACCACTATTTCCCTGAACTGGGGCTAAACCAGGAGGAGGAAAGAATTGATCATCCAATTTAGTCAAATGATTCACTGGAATTGTGAATCTTTAATGAGTGTCCCGAGTTAAAGCAGTATTAGCTTCTTCAACACTAGCTTAGTTTCTCCTGTATGACGAGAATGGCCCATGATCTCCGAATAAACTACCACTAAATAAACTACCGTAATCATCTTCTGCTTCTGGTGGTTCTTCCTTCTCAATGAAACTTCTGGAGTTATCGTTATTTTGATTTATAAATGAGCTTGATAACCCTTCGTTCTATTAGTTTAATCTTGCATCTTACTGCTTTTAGAAGGTATTACCGAATAATGGTTTCGAGAACAATGAGCTAGCACTTTTGAAAGTATTGTAAAAATCAGTTGACTGATTTTAGTTTCCAAAACTATTTTATGATTGTAATCTATTTGCTTATTGGTTCTATTAATTCTATTGAGTCTACTTCTACTGTTATTTCTTGCTAAGATACTAATCATAGTCATCATCATCATCAATAAGCTAATTCACTGTCAACTCATACTCTGGTGATGATTCTCTTTTCTTATGACTTTACTTACTACTTGACTATTGAGTGAATATGTTCAATGGATTAAAAGAAAAGATGCTTTAGCCTATTTACTGCTAGGGTGGACTAGCCACGCTTCCTCTTATTGAATTTCTCCTTGAACTAAGCAACACTTCTTCAGTTTTCTTTTAGCTCTCAAAAAATGGCATCAAGTCATCTTTACTTAATTATCCTTTCTTGATATTTTCTTCACTTTGCTTGAGTACAAAGGATTTTTCTTCTTCATCTTTGTCTAAACTATCTTCATCATCCTTGATATTTTAGACTTTATCTTGATCACTTATTAAGATTAAGTTATCATTCTTTTAATATTTAGAATTTGACTGTAAAACAATTTTATCAATTTCTTAAGACTTATTTACTTCCTCTTGCTTTTATTTATCATCAGGGGATGCAGAGTCTTCATTTTCATCCTATGAGGTAAAATTCTACTTTCTCTAAAATCGTTATCTGTATTAGCTTTCATTCTAATACTCATATGAATCCTCATCATAGTCTTCTTTAGCAAACTATTTTCTGTAATATTACTACTGTTATGTATAATTGTTTTGTTAATATTCATACTCTTCATCATCGTAGTCGTTATATGATCCTCTTTTAAATCCTCTACCTCTCCCTCTAGAATAAGAAGTAGATTAGTAGTGTCCTCTCTAGTTATTTATGAAGACTCTTCTATTAGATGATGCCTAGCCAATAGCAGAGCTTTGAGAAGCTTAGCCTCTACCTGTGGATGAATAGTTTTGATATTAAGTCTTTGTGACATATGTACCTTAATTATAGGTATTTTGCTAATACCCAGAACGAGGTTTGTATGATGCAAGTTAATTTTGATTTTAGTATGACCTCACATTTTACGCATAAGAGTTTTAACCTCTTTTTTGAAATCCAGTTTACCCCTGATCATTTAATTGTTGATTCTAGTATCTATGCTAAAATGAATCTTCGTAATTGCTTGAAATGTCTCTACTTTTAGGTTATGAATCAGTTTCTTAATCTTAGCTATTCTTAGATAGCTGCTTTTGAATGAGAGATTCCTCTTTTCTTTATATGAGTATTTTCTACTGTTAAATATTCTCCGACTTAGTTTCTTGGGCTGGACCAGAATTGGAATCCTCAATATTTGAGTGACTAAGTTCAATAGTCTTTTCTTTATTCTGCTTTATTTCAATTTATGAACTATCAAGAATCTTTTCCTAAGTTTTTATTTGATCTTAATCTCCACTAATGAAAGATTAATTCTATTCGTTTAGATCTCCTATATAATCTAAGTCTTTTTTAAACTCCTAGTCTTATTTTTTGTTTCCACTGATTTGCTTCTCTTCATTGATTTGACTTAGATTGAGAGAATTTTCCCTTTCATATTATATGCTTTGATTCGATGACTGAGGAGCTTAGTCTTCCCATGTATCTTTCCGCAATTATAAAGCTTTTTAAGCTTAGATGTACTCTTCTTGCTCTTTCATCTTTTTAAGCTCTTCTTCCGCTCTTCTGGCTAATTCTTTAGCTTTTATTATCTCTTGTTCCTTTCGCTTGAGTTCTTCTAATCTTTATTCTTCTTTTCTTTTCTCAGCTTATCTAAATCTTTCTTCAAGCTCTTGTTGCTCCTTTATTCTTTGAGCAGTCTACCTCTGCTGCTTTTTGTTCATTATTCTGACTACTTTTTATGGTTAAGTTTATGAATTTATATTTGTAGTATTGGATTAAGCTACTGATTATTCTTAGGTAGAGTCTTATTTCTAGCTTAATTGAGGCTGAGGTTGAATTTAAGTCTAAGCTTAGAAATCCAATGGTGATAGTTTTTCTTTTTGCGGCTAAACTAATGCCTAATCATCTTATTTAGTTACCTTTAATTCTTAGACTTCCTTCTTTTATTGCTATTATATACTTATCTTTTCTTCGCTGTAACTTGGTTACTTAGACATTTCTTTTTGAATAACCACAGAGACAGGTTATGGAAGGCTTTGCTTAGCTCTATTTTACTAATCTATTTCCTTTGATTGAACTTAATTCAACTGCTATTATTAAATTTACTACTGCTTAGTTGAATCTTAATGTCTGTTTCCAACGGTCTATTAGAATTGCATGTTCGATTCGTGCTGTGCTGGTCTATTCACTTCCTCCTTATCTTTTCTCTCCAGATACTTGTTGATGGTTAGATTTTGCTGTCTGTAACTAACCCTTCTGTAATTTTCAGCTTCAAGTGCTTGCTTCTGAGCTTCAAGACAGACAAGGTTTTTCTTAGAATAGAGATTTGTAATTTCTTTCAATAATAGTTAATTAGGATTGTCAAATTTTTCTTAGGCTGTTTGATACACTTAGAATATCTATTCATGAGCAAGCATATCTCTCAGGATTGGAATCTCTTTATGTTTTATGGGCTGATTTAACTTGAAATACATTGCTTGCTGAAGATGGTTATCCAGTTTTTCTTGCTTAAGCTAATCATGCTTAAATTAAAAGTGCCCTAAAATATCTCTTGAAACATATAGCAAAGCCAAAACACCTGAGCAAAATATAAGCAATTTCATTATCGCTGATGCAGTTTCTTCATAAGGGGTCATAGGAGAAATTTAATTAGCTAATGGTAAAAGTGGTAGGGGTAATTGAATCAGTAAGATAAATTCCTAGACAAAATATTTAGATTCTAAAATAATGGGCTTTTTCAATTTCCCAATAGTGTAATCAGTTTAATAGCTTATTGTTATCTAATGAGTTTATCCAGGCTTTAGTGAGAAAGAATGACAGTTAAGAATCTATATACCATAAGCTGTACACCCTTTTCCATCAATTGAAATACTGTCAATGTTTATAGGCAGATTTCCAACATTCTGAGCAATAAACACTCTTTTATGATGACTGTTAAGCTTGATGTTGGAGTACTTGTCTGTGAGCATGTCAGTTATAGATTGATAGTCAGATTCTTAATTTTCCCGATAAAAATCTTGAATGACTATCATATCCTCTGCTGCAATATTGAAGTATAAATACTTTTCTAGATCTTTTTAAGCCTTGTAACTTCTTTCGCCTTTTTCTGTTCCTTCATAAAAATCACCGTATATATACTTCAATATGCTCTATCTTGCATTTTCAATCTTAAAATTATCTGTCAAGTTTTCATTTCTTAGATACTGCTTGTACTCATCTTTATAAAGCTCTTGATTTTTATAGTAGTTATAGTTGGAACTATCATCTGGCTGTATGAATTCGATAAGGCCAGTACCACTCTTACCAGTAAGTTCCACTTGATAGAGATGAGTAAGGTTATTTTTAACGATTAAATTCATGCTCAATAACTCATTTTGAAGACTTTAAGGCTAGAATATAATAGCCTCTCTAAATGTAAAATTGCTTCTAGGATCTATTTTAAATTGCATTCCAAAAATCTTGGGATTTAAGTAGAAGCTTTAGTTTGAAATAGTTAGAGTTTTTTGGGTATTCATATCCACATATTCATTTTAGAATTTAGAAGTGTCATTATTGATAATTATCTCATTTAAAATGTAGTTCTTTAATCTGAATCTTTTCTGCTACTTCATCTCTGACATGAAAAGCTGATGATAAACGTAAGCTGAGTTATTCTTAGTGTTGTTTCTTGTTTAGTTATCCATCTTAAAGCTAGCCCCACTAAAGAGGTTCTTTAAATTTTCAAAAAATCCTTTAGTATTTGCTCTTTCATTGATTCTAAGCATGTTGACAGTATACTAATCAATAAATCTACTGGATGAAGCCTTATTAATTTAGTTAGCTAGAGAATCCAACTCAAAATTAGGACCTATAATTGGCTACTGCTAATTTTACTATCCCTCCTTATTAGGGTTTCCGTTCTGACTTAAATTCTTTAACAAATCCTTAAAATTATTATCATTAATCTCTAACCCGTTCTATTATTTCTTAATAAGATCTTTATTCAGCTACATAATATTCTTGTTGAAATTCATTAGATTATTATTCGCAAATAGCTGACTATATTCATCGAATGATAGATGGAAAAATGTTTCAACATTTTAGATAAGTGCCTTTTTAGTTTTCTCTGACAAGTGCTAATCGTTCAATATTTTTTATAGATCACTACAAATCTCAAAGCTGTTTACCTTGCCGCTTACATATATTTCAGAGTGATTGGATTTCTCGTAGAAAGTGCTGGTGAAATTATCCTAGCCAGTATAATACTTTTGCTTTTGATTGCAGTAATGATTTAAGTAAGAATTTTTATTGATTTTAGTTTTCAAATTCAAGAACTAATCACTCCAATCATTGGTTTAATTAATAGTTGCCTTCTAATTAAGTTCATTAGCTTTGTTCAAAGGCTGATTAGCCAGGAATAATGAGATTATGAGTGGTTCCTCACTAGGATTGACTATTTTTATATTTTTCATGCTGATTGTACCTATCTGAACGATATCAAAATCCACTACTTCATCGAGAATAATTGAAGGTTTTGACAAATGAGCCTTCACCTAAACAGAGATGTTTTAAAAGACATTGGTTTCAATGGTAACTACAGCATTTATCTCTGTTTTACCCATCTAGCCAAGATCATCCCAAGTCTTTTAGCGCTCTTTATAGAGGATCAGATCATTAATGTTGATTATCTGCTTATGATTTTGCCAATATTATCCTTACTGGTGTTGATGATTTTACTAGTTGAACTAGATTTATTGTCCTTAATTGAGTATCATAGTAAATTATCCATTGTTAGGCTTTGCCACTCCTCCAGTAATCAATTATAATAGTTGCTACTCCATGGCATTGTCAAAAGTATTGGCATGTGGGTTGTTTAATCCTATAGAATTTTCAAAGTTCTAAAACAACATATTAGTATGATATCGATTAGCATCAAAACCAACATGTCCAATTTCAGTTTTGTTTCTTGGCATTATTATGTTTGTGTTTTATTAAGAAAATTGTGGGAAAATGCGAATATCACTAGATGAAATCTAACTGATTAAAATAGGTACATCGAATGTAGATCTGGCTATAATTGGTTTTGATTGGAGAGTACCAATATAGCTTGATTAAAACCTGATTACTTGAGGTACTAAAGTGAGATTTCCTTCTAAAACTTAATAAGAATAGTTGAATGAGAAATCTGAAGTTTCACGCTTTCTTATTTAGAATTCTATCTTTGAACTCTTCTTCTTTGCCTCTCTACCACTGACTTGAAAGATAATCTGTAAAGTTTAATAGGGCTGAATTGTAAAGTTAATAATTTTCTTGGTTCTCTTTTAAGTCATGAAATTAATTTTGCATTCTTTATCTTCCTGCAAAGGGTTTGGAATCAGAAGCTACCTTCCATATCTATCCACATATTTATCCACATATACTATTAGATCATCAATTTGCGATTTTACGAGATTTTCCAAGGTTATGTTGTGAGGATTGAGATTAGTGATATTGAGTTTTTTTATTTTTGGCTCGCTTGTTGGTACATAACCAAAATTCATATCATAGCCATGAGCACATTGTAGATATCTAGACTTTTGCTATTCTTCCCAGACACATGTGAGATGCTTGTCATAGATTTGAATTGCAGCAGGTATAAGAGTGTTATTTACTTGGATTGAAATATATTTAATGCCTTGAGTAATCTTAAGTGATGTGGTTAATAACTCTATCTAGGCAAATTTAATTGTTTCATTAGGAAATAATATTATCTCTCTATATAAGATATCATGATTTATACCTGGCAAGAGATCTACTTTGAATTCCGGATTATTGTTGATAATGCCCTTAATTGATATTGGTCTGTCAAATGTATTCTTTATAATCAATGGTGCAGTAAGTATGACAGGCCTAAACTATGGAATCACAAATAGCATTCTAGATAAAGGTTGATTCATTATATATTCTGATATATCAAAAGTAACCATAGGTGGTACAAAGTCTCTAAAATTGGTCAATTACTATTATTCTATTCCTCCTTGCAGTGCAAAATTGTTCTTTAATACATTACCGACAATAGGTAATTCAATTTTGTAAGAAGTGTTAGTTAATATTCCTGTAGCATTCAAGATGATTTTCTGCAAAATCATGCCTGGGGAATTAGGGATAAGTAAACAATAACCAAAAAATACTTCTTAATTAACTTCCACCTGAGGTCCTTTCTCTAGCATTCTCGCCTCCAAAAATATAAAATCGATTCTTTCATCAGATATTGGCACATATAATTCATGAATTCTAATTGGTTCTAGCCCTTTATTAGTTCCTCTGACTTATACTTTAATTACATCAAAGTTATTAGGTACTACTCCAAAGTCAATTATTGATGGCTCAAATCTCATTATATCTGAGTTCACATGGAAATACATAGGTATTCTGATTAAATCATTCTGGGATGTCCTTATCATTATTTCTGAGTAGAAATCATGGGATTAATTTACTTAGAAAACTATATTACAAATGTGATTCCTGGTAAATGGTTAGATTTTTAAAAATTCACTATTGGAAATAGGCTCTCTAGTAGGAATTCCATTTCCATAGCTGTCAAATTATTAAGGTATCATTTCTCCACTAGGCCATTGTAGTTAAGCGTAGAAATCGGTTGAGTAAATTTCTTCAATAACCAGTAATTGATGAGTTGGATTCGTAATTTCTAATTCTTAAACTACTTTCTAACCTATACCGACGTCAGCTATGTAGAGAGGGGTAAGATCAAATTAATTAGGAATCACAAAAGCATTCATTGTTCCTACATATATAACATCGTTGATCATAATATAGAAGACACATTCAAAAAGACCGAGATTTTCTGGCAAAAATACTAATTGTATTTCTAAACTGCTAAGCGGTCCTAACTTGATGGGAAAGTCTCTGCCATTCATCAAATAAGGTGTTACCTCAGGTGAACTTGTCCTGAAGCTTTTAATTATTAAGGGCTTAATTTTGCTCAAATTATCGATTGTTAAAATATGCCTTTTTGGTATCAAAGAATAGCATTCATCAAAAGAGATTATGTGTGAAGGACTAACTTCAAGTTCTCCATGGAAGAATTTAAATAACTAATTATTAGGAACCAATGAACTTATTTTATTTGGTTTTAAACCCTATGTTAAATTGGAAATATGCTCTGGATCTGCATAAGTGAATGTAATTTTCTGGAAGCTTTCCATATTCTGAACTCTTTCGGCACCATAAACCTCCATAAATTTGAAGAAATTTTCTCTGTTATGAGTCTTTGCTTTCTTATAGATAAATGATTCAATGATCTGTTCGACCTCAATTTCATCTAGGGGTATCAACGGAAGTTCATAGGAATTCTTGACACCAAGTGCATAGTTTAGGTAGGAATTATCTCTTGGAAACTCTATTTTTTATTTGGTTAGTAAAAAGGTTTGGATAGGAAATGCTACTTACCATTGCCTTAACTGTCTGCAGTCTAAATTTATATACCACCAAGGAGGAATGTTTCATTCTTGAAAGGGTTTTGAATGTAGTCACTTTTTGATTTGTAGTAATTGGTACTTAAATATGAGTAGAGAGGAGGATCTTCTGAGCAAGAGTGAGTTTGATGGTATATATCCTAACAGAAAATTCTTATGAGGTTATCTTACATTACTGAATATGCTGAGTGGACAAACCTCTGAAACCATGTAGTCTTCATAGCTAGGAAAAGGATTTTCGGGGTCTTAATCAAATACGCTATGGTGATATTTTTTCCTGAACAAAGACTCGAGCACATGAGAAGAGAAGCCTATGTATCCAAGGTCTTTGTTGTTAAATAACTGTTTTCTGTATCTCAGTCCGACAGCACCCTCTGGTTGATAAACCTAGAGCTAGTTTTCCTCTTCAAATTCTGGCATGCCTATGATTCAAGTTTCGAATTGCTCATTTTACCCAGAAGCAAGTTCTGAAATGAGTATTAATCCAAAGATGATTATCGCAGATTTAAAATAGTGTTGTTCCATTTAATAATTATATATATATATAAATTGAATTTTTTCTGTAAAAAATGAATGCTCATAGATAACTGTACTCACATCCTACTATATTTTAGCAATAAAATAATGCTTGAAATTAGACTAATTAGACTTTATCTCAAAGATAAATTAATAACGAATACCCAGATTAAATTTTGTAAGCGTAAACCTAGTCAAATCTCAATCAACAAGAGCTACTTTTCGAATTTGAGCAAGGAGAATTTAATTAATTTGGACCTTCAGTCAACGAAGAGTATGAAAGAAGAATTTTATTTCAGTAAATGCTATGATAGCAGATGCTTAACAGATAAAGATAAATTGAAAGGCAGTTGAATTCAAGAAGATCAGATTTGTCTAGAAATAGTCAATTAATGTGGTAAGGTAGCTTGGAGAGAGGCATTAATAGTAAAGCAGTCAATGAAAACGAGACCGAATAAGAAAGTAAAAAATAAAGTAGCCAGGACAAGATAATTGATGCATGTGCCTAGTAAATAGAGATTTAAGCAAAGTAGACAATAATCTCCTATTCTATTACTTTAGTATCTATTTCTATGTTTATTGCTCTCCTAATGTTACATGAATAAGAGTATAATGGTGTTTACATTGAGATAGTTCTCGTACCATTAGCTCTGAATTGTCTGCAGGTTTTATTTTTTACACATCTCTAGTCAAAATCTAATCTATTTAAGCACATGAGTCAAAGGATAAAGGAGATGATGATACTGAAACTAGAAAATGTATTAATCCTAACATTCTTCATTTCACTCTCGCTTAGTCGAAGGTTAAGCGGCGATCAATTTGTTATACCATAAACAGCAAGCTGCTTTCCATTGGCATTAGTGTTAATTCAGAGATTTTTATGGTATAAGTCAATTATTAAATCGTTTAGGACACCATTAAACTTTATCAAATTTATCTTCCAAACTTTTTTTTTCTTTCTCTTGGTTAATTTGAGTGTTTAGAGAGACGGCATATTTGAATTTGATGTAATTGTTTTACTATGGCCTTGTTATGGATTTATAGCCATGACGTTTATATTTTTTATGGGCAGTCTGCTTCTTTTTGTTGGTTCTCTATGTAGTTAGCATTCTTAAAACTCAGATGAGTATGATTATCATCAGAAGTATCAAAATTAGGTTCTTAGGGATAATGGCATTAAAGTTCAAGAAGGCTAAAGTAGATTGCCAGAAAAAGATTAAACATTTAGTTGCTCAGTAGCTTTTTGGATTATGAGTAATTGTGGGTATTTTTTGACATTCTCTATTATGGGATTTTTCATCTTGTTGAAGTAGCAAAAGGAGTAAGAAATTATGACGAAATCATATTATACTCTAATCATTTTTCCAATTTGCATTGCTTCATATATTGCTATTCAGTATCAGTAGATTTGTAGATGGTACTATGTAAAGATCATTAGGCCATCAATTGTTAGCGAATTAGTCAGCATTGAAAGAAAATAACTTCACGAATAAAAGAGGCAAGAATGACTTGCTTAGAGATAATAATAATTGGAATTCGAGAGAAATAGAGAATAGCAGAGAGGCTCTGGTTTTGAAGAGAGGCAATAAGATGATGAAAATCCAGAAATAGCCTAGCAGCAAGTACATGATGCTGATATCACAGAACTTAATAAAATCTAATTAATAGATGAAAATCCTGAACATAAAGAAAAGGTCTTAAGAGCAGTTCCCTTATTCCTTATTAAAATATCAAGAAGTTATTTCCAAAAAGTCGAGTAATATTCACAATAGTTCTTAGATAAAGTTACATCATAGATTAGCCATGCTTAAAAAAAGAAATAAAAAAAGCAAAATGATTTGTTAAGCATGGATTTTGCAATTCCAACAGAGAGAAAGAATTTCAAAGGCTTTAAGAAATAATAATTTTTGTAGAAAAAGAAGTTGGATGATCATTATATAACTTCAAAGCAAAGACTAGCTAAGTATCTTTAGGAAAAGGGAAACATTCAATAGCCTGATGCATCTAAGTCTCCGATTTCGCTGGATAAATTATCTTGCAAATACGAAGAAAAAAACATAGATTCTCAATTGGACGAGTTGCTTGATGATTACTCAGTCAGTTTGGAATAAAAAGATGAATATAAGACTAAAGTAGAGACATTCGATTTTACTAAGACTACTCAGAATAAAATTTCCTAAGAAGTTAAACAAGATTCACTTAAAAATTAGGATGAAGTTCTTAAAGATGAACTTGATAGATTCTGCCTTACAAGTTAGCTTTAGGTAGATAGTAAATCTTTGGAATGCTCAATATCTTCCTAAAATTAATCTGAATGCTCAGTATAAAATAGCAATAAGAAGACAAAACAAGCTGCTCGAAAGAGAAGGAGAAATTCATTTGATTTCCAAATTATTAAAAAGGTTTAACTTGAGATTCCTGACTATGTAAATCCTCAAATACTTAGACAAAAAATTATTAAAACAATTTAAAAACTGAATAAGGAAATGGGTTTTTAACATTCTGAGTCAGAGGTAAACACTAAGAGACAATCTATAATCCCAAAAGAAGAACTCAAGAAAGGACTACAAAACATCGAAGAAGCAAATCTATAAAGTTTGAATGAAAATAAACTATGTATGCTATGCTTAGAGAGAAAATCCGATGCTGTAGTAATGGATTGTGGTCATGCTAATATTTGCTTTTTTTGCGCATTCAAGCTTTATTGAACGTAGAAATAATGCCATTTATGCAGGTAGTTGATAGACAAAATAATAAAAGTTGAGATTGCTACTTCAAACCATCAGAAATATTTGAAAGTTATAGGAATCGTTTAAAAAATTGAAAATAAATTCTATTATTCAGATGTGAATAAATAGAACGTTGGAGAGGTAAGGCATCTTGGCAAGAATCCTCTGCTTAGTCTTGAACAAGAAGGGAACCTGCAAACTGAAATCATCGAAGAGGCTATGAGTGTGAGGATGATGCAGTAGATTTATCATAACTAGCCTCATGAGGCAGTTTTATTTAAATTACAATCCTAGTGATAGACACACTAAGTAATAAAAACTGACTCAAAGATACTCTTAGAATAAAATAATATTTAAATTTTATTTTTTATTAACTTAATTACTTACCATAATTATTCTCTTTTAGATACAAGGGGTTTTGGGGTTTTGGGGTTTTGGGG